CATTGCAAGACCATCTCAAGACCATCACAAGACCATCACAAGACCATTGCAAGACTATCACAAAACCATCACAAGACCAACACAAGACCATCACAAGACCATCACAAGACCAACACAAGACCATCGCAAGACTATCACAAGACCATCACAAGACCAACACAATACCATCACAAGACCAACACAAAACCCTTCAATGAGAAATCTCACCTTCACTGTGAGTGTGCCTTCATGTTGTGGGCTTGCATTAACATCAATTACGTTAATTTGAAGTAGGTACGACATTGCTACTTCGTAATCAAGTTCCGTTGCCAGAGTCAACAGAGCTCTGTCAGAATGAACATCAAAGGTCTGTGCTGCTTCTTCATTTGGTTCTGGCACTAAGCAACAAAGAAAAAGGTGTCAAAAACAGCAAAATCTTGGCAGAAACTAACTAGCAACGGATTGTTACGACCCTGGCTTGAAGAAATAAAGTTAGGTAACACAATGCTATGTCTTAGCATTGATGCATAACTGCAATAAGGCTTATGTAAAAAATTGCCCTCATGAAGGGGTATCTCTTTCAATTTTCACCAATGTGGGCCAACTTCATATCTAAGTAAATTAACCGGCTAAGCGAAAGTATGCCACAAGCTCAAACATCATTAGACAACCTGCTTACCAATTACTGCTTCAGAGTCACAGATGATGAAGTCTGTACCATTCACAGAATGAGTAGCAGGTGATGGTGTTGTAGTTGGTGCTACACCTGCTGATAGATTGTCTGCTGTGTTGTTTTTTAGGGTGAAGTGTCTTGCTTCATTGCCTGGAAAACACAAAAAGAGCCCACTGAAGAAAACTTCTTCGAATGAAAAATCAGATTTCATCTAAATTCTGAGAAAGTTCGGAAAAAAGTTCATAGATAGTTTGTTTTATATTACGCTCATAATTCCTGAAAGTTACGGAGCATGAACGTCCACTCAAGCACACCGTAGTCACATACATTCATCCTTTAAAATATGCACAAGATGTTAAATTCAAGTTGTTACCAATTGACTAATCTGATGCCTGGATCCATCTGTCTTACCACTTGCAATAGTGACTTGGTAGTTTGGTCCAGTAGAGAAGGCATCTGCCACCCAGATGGATTCTAAAATGGCATTGAGGTGTAAATCTTCCTCCACAGTGACAGCGTAGTCAACCGGAGGGTTGTCTGGGTCAGACGGAAGGAAGTCCATGCCTTGAATCTCCAGGAAAAACTCGGAGGAACAAGGATTACGCTCGGTGTGAAAGATATCAAAGTGGTAGGATTCACCAATCTACAACGGAATCAAAGCAAGATTGAACCCCTTTTGTAATTCTTTTGGCCTATCTGCTACAAAAAGCAGTGGAAGACTTGATTTACTTTAAAAAATGTAGAACAATACTTTCAGGCTCTAAATTGAAAATGATGCCGTTGTAGGTACATGACAGGTGCAGGCCAGGATGCATTACGGGGAGGGTGCCCTATAGGATGTCCATTGCTTGAGGTTGACAAGTGTATGACTTTAACATATACAACTTTAGAGATTGCAGCAATAAGCAATGAACAGAACAGTAACCATTTAAACTATACTTCTTAGATTTGAAATGAAACCATAAGTAATTTCTCAATCTTTTGACACAAATTGCGCTGTCCAAAGACCGTTTCAACAATGCGTATACTTTCATTTCTCTCTCACCTGAAGCTCAAGGAAGACCCTCTCATCCAGGACTGAGTCCGATATTTGACAACCTCCATTCACAATAGTTCCCTCCTCCGGTGTAAGGTAACTTCCACCTGATGAAGAATTCAAATCACAAAAATGTCAGAACCTAATGAGATCCCTTTATGGTTACAAGGCTCTGAAATCTTTGGAATACTTTTAACGATCACAACACGAGAGTGAAAAAACCTCAAGGTTCAAAAATACCCATGGTGATATTTTCCAAACATTTTGTTTGTTTTGTATTAGGGTAATTCCAGGAATTAGGGGTCCAAAGGTGTGACTTTTTGTGTCCCTGTTACATATGACCTTTGTTATTTGACATGGAAATATCACCAGAATCGATTTCAAACTATTACTATTTGTTTGGCAGGTAATTTGCATTAATTCACCACTCTTTGAAATTAGAAAATATGTTCTGACCTTACAAAATCATTGGTCAGATGTGACAGGGACACGAAAAAATGGACCCCTAATTTCTGGAATGACCCATTAAAAAGGGAGAACCAACAATTCAGCCAAGCTTGCCTACCTTCACTAGCTGCCGATGCCAGGGTTATTTTCTTACACCTGACAGGATTGCTTGAGGAATCACCATGGACCTCTAAGACCAAGACCTTGTTGACATACACCCAGATTTCATCCCCGCCGCCAACCGTTATGATCTCAGTCCCATTGAACATAATCCCAGTTCTTATTGCACTTGTGAAGCTACGAGAAGAGAAAGTTTTCCTGTAAACTAACTACGTCATAATGAACTAACTAAATACAAGCAAATGACTTCCTGGATCACAGTAACTCTATCTATATTCTGTGATATCAAAAGTCGACAATGGACAGAGGATGGCGTGACAATCAATTCTCAAGGCACTGGATCTTGATCTCAGTGGTATGGTCTAGGATATCCTAACTCGAGAGGTAATTTTTCCTTCAAAGTAATAATTTCACCTATTCATGATATTCTCACATATTTCTGCCAACAGGAATAAAACTTGGGCTTAACAGAATACCAATCTTTACAACACTTAGTAGTGTTGTTCAGGTTTCAATGGCACGAGTGTGAAGCGAAAAACAGGGAAACTGGCTATCCGAGGAGAAGTTGCGTGCCTGTTCCAAGTGTCAAGGTGTCAATGTTTTCCATAATCAACAGAACAAGCAACCAGTCTCCAACCATCTTACCCAAAGTTATGAAGAATAAAGTCACAGTCCCTCTGTCCTTCTGAAGCAAAGCCAAGACCATCCACAGGGTAGAATGCGTCCGACCAGAACCTACCAAATCCCCAAAACTTAAAACATCACTGGATGTATAACCCCATTACTATGACAAAGTCTATGGCACATAACATTCTTTCAGATTTATCCAACTCTAAATGCTACAGTATAGACGTGGAGCAGCCATGTTGCTTTTCTACCAAAAATACAATGTAGCAAAACTGAGGCCGAAAAGGAAATATAGTCAGTGTCACCGTCTTAGAACTGGACAACATTTTTTCACTCTCAAAAGTGGAGATAATCCAGCCTTGTTTTGAAACAGTATACCAATGGATTGACAGCATTCAAGATCTGAGGGAATTGAGGGTAGCGTTCGAACATGTCTTCGTATGAGACCTTCATAAGAAACCTTTGTAAAACACTGCCTCGGTGGAGACGGCTGGTAGCCTGCATCAGTTCTACATGTACTTTGTAAGAGACATGATGATGGTACTAGAACCTAATACACCAAGGAATAGTTGTGCACTTTCGGGCAATGCAGTGACAAGTAATGGGTCAAGTCAGGCACAGCAACCTTGACACTAAGTTGTACTACAAGCTGCTTCACCATTAACAGGTGTTTTGAAAGCCAACTCACCTGTTGCTACTGTTCTCTAGACCTGAGGAATTAAGCCACTCCAAGACCAACTGAGACTCAATGGCATAGTTCAAGGAGGTGTCATGACGAAACCAACGTGAGAAAGAGTCACCTGTAGGATTATCTGAGATAGCTAGCCAGGCACCGTAAGGCGAGAGGACGTAACTTGGACGACTGATGACGCTTTTACCAACAGAAGTAAAGTCTGGGTGACTGACACTGAAGAATAAATAAATCGTCATACTAAGTCAGCATCATACTTAAAACATCCTCTGGTTTACAGAACCACACATTCTCAAAAAGACATATCCTTGCAGATCTCTTCACCTATATTTTAAATACTTTGATAATAATCACAGTGAACATATGTATTTTTTAAAGTTTGCCGAGTTCCAGTTCACGTCTACTAGGGCAGGATAAACTGTGCCTTGAGGGACCTAAAACTATTCAGGGGCCTGCAAACTCTACAAAAAATGTAATACAAAGCATCACAAAATGCACGCCATTAGATTGTTTAAAATCCTTTGATTTCTCTGTTTGCGTTGTCTACATCGGAAGAGCTTCAAATCAGCTACTATAATAGAATTGAACACCAACATTAAATAAGAAGCTCAAATACTAACTAGCAACATAAAATCAGCGCTAATGACAGGCAAACAGAAACTATGGGATACTGGTGTCTAGTGCCCAGGGAACATTTAATCTAGCTGTGGTCTTGGTACATACCTGAAGTCATAGTAGATGACATTCAGGTGAATATCGTCCCCTGTTGTCACAGTGGTATTAGTTTCAGCTAGTAAGAGCAAAGAGAAACCAGTCAACAGCTAAAGCAATACTCAACATGTATAACACATGTATGTTGTGTATATAGATATGATATAGTAAATATATAGCACTAAAAATATTGCCCAGACAAGGTTCACGTGTCAGTACCAACATTCTCCAGTGTAGTGAATAGAACATATTCATCAGGTGCACTACTCTCTACAAACACTTTGAGTCAACAGACAGTAATGGATGTATAACACTAACCATACTAACACTAACCATGTATAACCATACAAGGTTCATGTGAACATACCAACATTCTCCAGTGTAGTGAACAAAACATATTCATCAGGTGCGAGGAGTAATGGAAATTTTAATACTAAGGTATAGAGCATAGTTATTGTATATAAAGCACCAAGTATATTGACCAAAGTTCATATAAACATACCAACATTCTCCAGTGTAGTTACCGGGACATATTCATCAGGTGCACTAGTATAGTTTCCCACAGTTAGAGTCACATAGCAAATATAATCAGCACCACTTGATACGCTGTCTTCAGCAGTGAATAAATGGCTGGTGTTGGTCGTATTGTGAAACAAATTGGGTGCAGAGCTGCTGGTGCATGTCAAATCGAAAATCCTAAGCAGAAAAGAGAGTCATTCGTTGAAACCAAATGAGTTTAGAACAATTCATCACATGATATCACACGGTACCTAATTCAAACACTTAACATGTATTTCAATGTAAATCTTGGATCTGGGAAAAAAATTAAAGCGAGATTGGTGAAAAAATTCCTTTTTTTCAATTCAACTTACAAAAATTTGAGGAAATTACACTGAAATCACCCCTACACAGCTAGTGTCGTCCAATTTGTTAGTTTTTCTTCTCTATTTCAGTGGAATAAAAATGAGTCACAAATCAAGCCAGATAAACCTTTTTCTGTCTCCAGTAAACTGCGTCTCTTCAGTGGGTTTAGAGAGACACTTACCAGTCATCCATGGCATTTTGACTCCCTGGATACTGCCTAGCAGGTGCCGTCCAATCCACCTGTATCTCTTGCATCTCTGGCACTGTTGCTGTCACATTAAATGGAGCTACATAGGAACAAAACTGGGTATTTAAGTTCAAATAAGAGGGACTTCACTGTTTAATGACAATTCATTATAATGTTTCTCAGACAAATGTTAACTTACCACATTGAAAAAGCTCTGGTTGTGCATTTAGAAAGTAAGTTGGAAGTAGTTGGTTGGCATAGGTAAATGTTACACCTGCTGTCTCGTTAGGTGTCGTACATGCACCACCAGTGATGGAAGCATTGTACAATTGAAGAGAGAGATACAGGTTGCAGGTGCATCCTAGAGGGTTGTTAGCAAGATTTCTGGAATCAAAACATTCCAAGATACAATGTCTCTTTACTCATGGCCAGATTCAGAATCAAATTGTCAAGGTTGTAAAATTTCACCGGGGAAGGGGGACAGGTTAATAAAGCTTTCAGTGTAACTAGCTTACTGAAGGGCAAGGCTTCCTGAGATTATCCACTGTCAATACTTGCACAGTGGATCTCCTCTCTCTTCCACTTAAAAATTGTCTTCCACCACGAACATTTCAGTCTCTTTCAACTTTACTTGAGGCTTCTCAATGCAAGCAAAGTGTTCCACTGGCTCTCAGCTTACATCCAACCACATAGCAAAATGTTTTTCCAGTAACTTACAAAGAGGTGAAGACACGGACATCAAGCATGTTAAAGGCATATTGGCCGATGGTTGCAATCTGGTTGTCTGAAATATCTCTGGAAGAAAACGAGACAAATGTGATGCACTCATCAAGCTTAACTTCGAACTTTGCTTTTGTCATATAACAGCTATTATTATCATTTTATTTGCCAAAGTACAAAACTAAACAGGATAATACAATAAAAAATCTTAAAAGCAAAAGAACAAACGATCAACATTTCAGGTTATTGTGATCTTTAAAATGTTTGCGTATGTAATAGATGTTACAGAAATATGGACAAATGCAACATTCAACACACAAAAACTTACAGTTGCCGAAGGTCAGGCAGGTGAGGCATTTGGGGCCAGTGGGTAATCTCATTATTAGAAATGTCTCTGGAGAGAAAGACATTCATATTGGTTTAACTATTTCTGATGAATTGTTCTAAACTCATTTGGTTTCAATAAGGGTCTGGTTAGGTTTGAAGCAAAAAGCACAAATATCAAGAATACCTGTCCCAAAAGCCAGACATGTAAAACACATTGAAGGCATCAAACTTCTAACAAGACAATTCATAGGTTGGTATTAGTTTGTGGTATTTGTCAAGGAACCTAATAAGACAGCATTAAAAGAGTGCGGACAAGGCCTGATTTGTTAGAAAGGTTTCGTTTACTCGATGTACCCGAGTTGACATTCCAACAAACACACAAAATGGGAGCTTGCAATGAACACAGGTTTTGCTTACTCGGTGTACCCGAGTTGACATTCCAGCAAACACACAAAATGGGAGCTTGCAGTGACCACAGGGGCCACTTTCATAGAGCTCTTCAGCACAAAATGTACTTAAGCGTGAAAAAACTTACTGGATAAATCAGGTTACCAGCCAAAACTTCCTGTGCTTGTAATGTATACTGATTTGGAACGGTATTTACCTCCCTTTTGATCTGCATGACAACAACGTAGAGTTTGAGCTGGTAACCTGATGGGCCAATTTCATAGAGCTGCTTAAGCACAAAATTTACTCAAGCGTGAAAAAACCTTGCTTAAAAACAAAGGTTACCAACTCAAACTCTATCTGATTGTCATGCTAACCAAAAGACAGCTATATAAGATCCCAAAACAATATATATCACATGGAGTTTTGGCTGGTTACCTGATTTATCAAGTAAGGTTTTCTCGCACCTATGCAAATTTTGTGCTTAAGCAGCTCTATGAAATTGGTTTCAGTTTTTAAAGCAAGGTTTTCTCATGCTTCAGTAAATTTTGTGCTGAGAAGGCCCTGCAATGATCAAGGAGGTATCAAGATACCCAAAATGCTTTGCGTTTCCTTCCCCAAACCTGATCCACCGTTCCATGTCCTTGGATGAACATGAATATTCGATGTGAAAAAAGTAAAGTCTAATCACAGTTTAACTCTCCTGATTGGGAGAGATGAATATTCAGAAGAACATGAAAATGATTTTACATGTAATGAATATGAATGATTAAATGGTACTTACACTATCTGCAGGTTTGCCAAGCCATCAAAAATATTTTCAGCTACTCCATTTATGTTATTCTGGCTCAGATATCTTTAATGGAAAAAATGATATGCATAATTATGTAAATTTACTGATACAGGCCAGAAAGCAAACCACAAAACTCACGTTCCCGAATGATACACTCAAATGCAAAAAAAAATTGAAAAGCATACAACTGACTTAGTAAAAGAGTGAGACAGTGATATGCCAGCGACAGTCCATTTAATTCTTCAACTAAAAGAAAGAGTTCTCTAATTATTCAAACCATTTGCATATCAGTAGTTTTTACACCTCATCAGAGGAAACAATTCAACATAATGACACTTTTCTCACATGATCAAGGCTCTTTCCAAAAGTGGAAACAAAAAAAGGTGAATGAAAACAATGCATTTCCAATTAAATGAAAAGTGCATGTTGTTTTAAAATTAATATTAATTAAATCTTTATGATTATGAATGATATACAAATATGTAACAAAGCAAATTCCTTGGTTAGTTAATAAACAGTCCTTACACTTCACCATCATTAATTCAGGGAATGCTCAACTGCTTTACATGTATGTATATATTCCAGATTATGTTGGTGTACAACAAGCGATGTACTTACAGATATTTCAAGCTGGTTAACGGTGCCAGGATACCAGTTGGGATATCAGTCAACCTGTTATTTTGTAAGTTCCTGTAAACCAAGACAACATTATTAACATCCATCCCAAGAATCAACCCTCAACTTGGGACCAACTTTGTCAACCAACAGTACCGGCATTCTGCTCTGCCTCTTGAGACACTGCTCAATTAAGGTACATAAGCAGCATTACTACCCCTGCTCATCAAGCCTATGATATTTGAATCAGGTTTTAGAACAGAGAGCACAACATCTCAAGTATCCTGATCAAACTATCCACATGACTTGTACTAAACATTTTTAGTTACTGTTCCTCCAAGATCACAAACTCAAGTGCCTAGGCCAATCTTTTGCAAAATATATTGTGAAAAAAGGTCAACATTATTCCTACATTAATTGTTGATTTTGAGGTTTTTGTGATAAGGCTCAACTTACAATGTCTCTACACTGCTCTGTCCTTCAAACGCATTGTCAGGAATCGTCCCAATCTGGTTATCATTCAACTGAATACTGATGAGATTCTGACTGGACAATGCCTTGGCTGGGTAAGCCGTGATGAGGTTGTTGTACAATGAACTACAAATTAAAAGAAAGATGTACAACTTCAGGGTTACATATGACACAGTGACATGGGTGTGGCAATGTTATAATAGCGTTATTTCAAAATCAGTACAAGGTTGAACAATGGATGTCACAACAGGTGTCAGAAGTATGGAACAAGGACTATAACGTGATAAAAAGACCAAAACAAGGCTACTACACAACTGCAAAAAATTGCTGTGTGCTTTTAAGTGTTAATGTTATAAGGTTGAAACAATATTTTGACAAGGTTTAAACAGGTTTTAACCCAAAGAGTCCTTGATCCCTCTGACAACCTGGGGGGTTAATAAGGAAAACTACAGGCTGTGACAAAGTTACAACAAGGCTGTTGTGCAGGTGAATTAATGTTGTTGCAAGGTTGTCATAAAGTGCTACATTTTGCATGTTAGATTGTAGCAAGACAGTTATTGTCAGGAAGTAAAGCTGTAACAAAGTTGAACAACTTTGTCCTACAGTTACAGTAAGGTTGTCTATTAAACACTGCAACAAGACTTTTCTAAGATTCCAAATGCATTGAAAGTTTGTCCGCTGAGGATTTATAACTCTGTGAAAAGGCTACAAATAAAGACACTGTAAACTGGAACGAGATATAGCTTATTAAATTTGCATACTAAATTTGCATACATGCATAATTTTTCCCATTAAATATCACGGTTCAAGATGTGAATTACTATTAAATATAATGAGAACATCGTAACAGGTTGAGGTGTGTTCACCAATCAATTATAACGCTACCCTTTAACTAACAAACCTGAAACTACTTACAGTGTGGTAATAGTTGCTCCATCAAATGTGTCGCCAGGAAGTGAGGAAATCATATTGTTGTGTAGATACCTAAAAAAAGAAGATACCACACTTCAACTGTCCATTCCATTTTCAGTTTCCAAACAAAAAACAAAAACAACCAAGAGCACCAAATTTGTTGCCACAAGACAATGCAACGATGTCCACAATTTGAAATTCACACTAATCTGTTGGAATGCACCCAGTAAATGGGGGGTCAAACTCCTCAAATTCCTAGACAGGTTCTCTCTTCAATAAGGGTTAGCATTTGTGAACTATTAAAGTTTGCTCTACAGAGTGTAAATTTGTCTTATTGCATGAATAATCTCCAGTTGTTGGAGGATTACAAAGAACCTTTGGTGAAATCTGATTGAATAGGATGAGTCAATAGAATGAATCATTGAGATGAGATTCAATAAAAGCTTCCTGCAAGAAGATTCTTACCGGTCAATTCCATCTGTGATTAACAGATGACTTTTGTCAATACTTACAAATCTGTAATGGTTGTACCATCCCCAAACATCTTGCCCTGAATATCATTAATCTGGTTGCTCTCCAAGTGACTACAAGACAAAAGAGCAGTTACCTTGCCAAACATTATGAATAAATAAAGATGGAAACAATGCAAACGGACCAAAGAAAGTGACCTCTTGATGAATTTCCATGATTCGTATCACAGGTTGTTATAATCCTGAATTCACTCTTTGTTTGTTTATTACAGTTTGTTGTGGTTCCTTTTGTATTGTGCTTCTGGTATAACTTGTGGAATTTTCTCATATTGCTATTTAAATTTAGAAATTTCTGCTCAATGCCTTTTATGATCTATATTATCCAGTGTTTCTGAATATTTCTGATACAATTGGTGCTTAAAAAATCAAGCAAATGCAAAATGTTTCTTAATCTTAAGAACCAATACTTACAAATCATGACTAACAGAGCCAGTGAATGCTTCTTCTTCAATGACAGCAATGGAATTGGACTGCATGTAGCTACGTAAAATAAAAACCTCACTTTAGCGACACTTCACGCCACTTGTTCCGGAATAACAACAAGGCATTTCAAAATGGAACATTCCGACTATTCCAAATTAAATGACTCCCTAACATAGTTCCTAAACAAAATCACCAAAGATTTCATTGGAAGGACATTACACTTTTATCACAAAAACAGCAGAGTCAGGTACATCATATTACCACAGCCATTTTGAAAAATTACTTTCTTGACAAATAAGCAATGAGGCCTATCGATGCACTGATAAATATTAAAATTTTAGCAATTCAAACTTTATATATCAATCATGAACTTAATTATGCATCATCACATGATCACTTTTGACCAATTAGCACAAGAGCCTACATCACATCATACTAGAGTCTTCAGAGATTCATGCACCAATCAACACATGATCACAATCTTGGCCATTCAGCATCGTGGAGTAGGAAAAAACAAAAAAATTCAATCCAGGTATTTGTTTAGGAAGAGAGACAAGGAAGGTGACTTACAGATAGCCAGCTGAAACACCGCTGAATGAATTTGAACGAAGGGTTGTTAGACTTCCTGACTGAAGGTGACTGTGTGCACAAAAAAGAGAATTATGATATCACTGAGACCATTGATAATGGGGTCACTATCACACAGCCCGCTGATAAGCAAATTTATGTACTCTGTAATAAATTGCAGAGAACCACTGAAAAGAACCACAAACATTTATAACAATTGGCTGGTAATCAAGTCTTTCTATCCATGTCAAGCAGAAGTGGCCCATCGTCAGTTGAAAAGAGCCACATTGGTTGAGAGTGTTCAACTGGTTGGTAGCAGTGTGACCGTAACATGTGCATTTCCTAGTCGTTTGTGAACCAGCCAAGTTTAGTTCCGACCAAAGAGGCCTCTGTTGCTGAGAAAATAGCACCCTCTCTTGGTCCAGTTCGAGGCTGATAGATCAGAATCCATCTGGGTATTTGCTCATGAAAATAGTCAAGAGGTGAGTTCACTTACAAATATAATGAGGCTGTGACTCCATTAAACGCATACGATGGAATGGTTGTCAGTTGTATGGACTGAAGATCACTGCAAACAAGAAAGAATTCCATTTCAATATCACACTTAAATCCATTTTAACCACCTGTTAGCCACTTACCAAAGATTTTGTTTTAGACCCAATGCTTTGAATTTTGAAAAAGACAAGATTATGCTGTAAACTTTTCCTACTCGAGCAAACATCACATACTCCTGCAATGTAGTTGTGGGGAGATACACTTGATATTTCACCTATTTTGTGGGGACCCCAAACTGTATGTAGACAAAGAAAATATCCCCGCAACTCGGTCCAAATTTGCCTAACAAAAGAACCTGTCCCCTTAACGCAAGACGCGTCCCCACAAATACATGTACTGGTTCCGTTGCTTATCACAACTTGGTATTCTCTGACACTCATAGGAAGCACAAAAATGTACAACATGGCAAGAGGATCGTTTAGAAAAAAGAAGTAAAATTGTCGAATAAAACTGTCAGAAAGTTATAATTGTTCAACACATTTTGACTTTCTGAAGGGCGTCAGTCAATCCATTTTGAAAAGTGGGGGGGATGTAGCCCTGATCAGAACAAATGCAAGCACAAAGTGCAAAGCTCTGAGCAACGTAGGGTCCAGGGCCCACTCAAGAATCCCGGAACATTTTGGAGGATAGATGCTCCGTGCTGTAATTTGAGACAATTTTTGGCTACTTTAGACAGTTTTTTAAACAAATGCTTCTGCAAGGTGCATGCAGACAAAAAAAGGGAGGGAGGCAATTGACATGTCCCCCCTCCCCAACCAATTGACGCTCATTCCCATGTGCTTGGCCAATTTCACTTATACATTTCAGACAGCTCAGGAGAACTTAAGGTACTGAAAATGTCCTTTCTTTTCATCTACATGTAGGCCATTATCAGCGTCCTTTGCCCAAGCACACATTCCCCCATTTATGACAGTCAATGAATGACAGGAAGCCAGAAAAGACTAATCTCTCAGCTTACATTGTAGTGAAGGAAACATCGTTGAAGGAGTAAGAACTGATGGTTTGTAGAGGATTGGAACTCAAATACAGGTTTCTGCAACGTAAAACAAAAATCATCAGATCCTAACAGTTGGGCCTTTAGGAACGATAAGTGTATACTTTGGAATCAGGTTACTAAATCATAATTATTCATTTCATACAAATGTGTTCAAATGCACTGTTTAATGAAGACATTAAACATGATCGAGCCAATGGCATACAAGGGTTCCTAAGGCAGCTGCCAAACCACCCACATCCACCTACATCTGTAGAGAGGAGACAGTAAGAAGCAGTTACAGTTTTAGAGGGGGAAGGAAAACAACATAGAACACATTTCTGGGTAAAAACCTAAGAAATCAGGTAGGGACTGAAAACCCAATGCATATGTAGACGGAACCTGGGCCACACAGGTGAAAGATGAGGAAAGAACTACTTCGCCAACCTGATGCCGATCCCTGGATTGTACATCTTTGCTTCATTCTTATTTGGTGCATAAACAGGCAATACATTTCTCGTGAGTTATCAACAATTTTCTGTCTTATACTGCAAGTTACATGTATGATTGGAATTTGCTCATTTGATGAGGGTACAGGCTGATGCATTTAAGTCAAGTCAAGATGATAAGATTTTACTGCCAACCATTCAGGAAAAACTCACCCGCCCGACACTGAGTTTAATGCATAGGGCTCAATGTGTGCAATGTCGTTATTCTGCAAAGACCTGAAAAAGACAAGAAAGTTCCAAAGGTGATCTCAGGTTTATCAAAGTCACAACTTCAGTTAGCCTTCAGTTAGTTGAAACCAAAACTTCACCTACCATCAGCAAAGAGTCTAAGCAGGTAGTGACAACGGGATTACAGTTTTGGTAAAATTCTACGAAGAACTTTCCAGGGCCTTATTTTTTATATGGGAACTCAATGAGTTTGATATGATTTTTAGCAAAACGGGTCATTCTATAAATTTTTCCTGTCCCTGTTACATCAAGTGTATGATTGATTGTTTAATGTTTAGATCTCACTTCTTCATATCCAAGATTAAATAAATACTGCAGGTTACCTCAAAAATAATATACAGGGTATATCAGGTGTAACAGGGACGGAAAAATGTCACCAATCGGACCCCAAATTCATAGAATGACACAAATACAAAACTAATTTTTGTCTGCTGCGTGTTACTGACTTTGTCTTTGAAACCTGGATTTCCCTTAGGAGAAATAAAACTGCTAACATTTTGGCTGACAAAAAAAATGCTGGATCATCCCAAAAAAATTATTTCCAGACAAAAATGAAAATTGTAATTTCAAAAAACACTTGATTTCAATGCAGCGTCTGTGCATAATATTGTGGGGCATTTCTAAGAAAATACTGACGGAATCTGATAGTTTTGAAAACAATGAAACACCCTGTGACAGATTCTGGGGGATACCCTTCAGTGCACTTACAGTGTATTCGAGGCTCGAAAATTCTGGAAGGCCCCAGCTTTGACTTCAATAATCTTATTTCCACTCAGGAATCTACATAAACAGAAAAAGAGTTTTTTTTAATGCTGGACGAGGAAGGAGTAGAACAGTGATATTCTAAACCAGTGTATGGAGGACAAGAAGATTTATCAACACATGCTTTTTGTATGCACATGTTAAGAAAGAGCAGCTGTGACTGAGACCAGGGCCCAATATCATGGCGCTGCGTACCGCAGAATTCATTGCTTACAATCTCCATTCTGCGCTAACCGCACTGGAAGAAAAAATTCTGCGCTAACCCTTTAAGCACAGAATCCTTGGTTACGGGGTATACGCATGCGCACAAGCCAAAATTCTTTGCTAACCTGTAAAATATATTCGCCATAAGCACCAAATTTTCTGCTACGGTAAGCATCTGTGTTTTGCTTGCGGTAAGCAGAGCAATGAAATTGGGCCAAGAATGAACACTGCATAAATGTTTGCTGCAAATCAGTTTTTGCTAAGCAAACACTCTTTGAATGTATTACGATAAACATTATAGCAAATATCTCCATTTGGATCAGAAGGCACCAAAGGAAAGAGGTGTCTAATGTCTTGCATGTGTGACATCATTAAGAGGGGGAGTTGGAAAAGGGAAGCAGTGCAACGTAAGAACCTTGTACAACACCGGAAAGGTCAAAAATCTTTCAAGGCAAAATAAGATGAAATATCAATTATTTCATCAAGAAATGAGGTCTGAATGTAAATTTTAAAGGACAACTTTAAACAATATCATCCGCATAATTGATCACAATTGATTGATCATAAATGATTGATCACATTCAAAAATCTCAAGAATTTTGACATTTGGAGGCAATATTTAAATGTAAACTAACACTTTCATTTCATTTCTCTATGTACTCAATTAATAACAATTTGTGTGCATCTTTAGTGAGGTTGTTCCGAAGTTTATAACAGATGATGTCCCCATTTGTGACTAAAAAATAAAGTTACAATGAGGCAATTTTGTGAAGAGATTGTAAAAAGCTACTTACAAATACGAGAGAGTGAGATTAACAAATGTTCCTCCCATTGGAATCTTTGTCAGTCGGTTATTATGCAGGGTAATTGAGCTGGTGGATGTCACATGAGCAATTGCCCCATCCTCAATGTAAGCTATCTCATTGTTAGACAGGTGTAAGCTGCTAGATAACGGGCAATCCTCAAATGTGGTGATAAGAATCCGTCCAATCTTGTTGCTTGAAAGAGCGCTGAATGGAAAAAAAGATATTAAATGTATTTACGAGAGCTGGATGCACTAAAACCTTCAATTAAAATTTATCTCAATGCATCATTTTTTAACATTCAAAAGTGCATGAAAATAAATCAAATGAGGTTTTTATGAAATATATCAACTTGCAAAATGGTTTCCTTAGTCTAGCTTGTGAACCCTCTTCAATTCTGCAATGTTGGAATGAACTCACTTTGGTCTGCAATGAACTGTAATTAAAAACCTTGAAACCAGCAATATGTTTTAGAAATGGAGGAACACAAGTACAAACCTCTGATAATATCTAAACAGTCCGTAGTTTGTTTTTATTTCACAAGTTTATTTCCAATATTCAAATCGAACGGTCCTTTGCAACAAATTAAAAAACCAGAACATCAGCTTAGTCTTCGGACAAAACAGATCTACATGCCGGGGAGTGTACATTATTATATGTGGAGTATTATTCTGTGGAGAATCTTGATACTTACACGTACGACAAATCTGTACAGCCATCAAATGCAGTGTCTGGTATAACATCAATCTCATTGGATGCCAAATCAAGGGTTCTCAGAGATGATAGATTGGTGAATGGGTTCTCATGTAAGAAGTAGAACTGATTACCAGACATTCCACTGTGAGAAACAAGAGCAAAATTAACACACAAAGCTACTTATGGGGTCAATCTTAGGGTCCATCTTAGGGGCCATTCCAGGTCAATCTTAAAGCCACTTATCCTCAGGTCCATCTCAGGGTCAATTTGAGGTCAATCTTGGGGTCAATCCTTGGGTCCATCTTGAGGTCAATCACAGGGTTAAACTTGGGGTCAATTTTGAGGTCAATCTTGAGGGTCAATCGTGAGGTCAATCATGGGGTCAATCTTGAGGTCAATCTTGAAGTCAATCTTCAGGTCAATCCTAAAGTCAATCTTGACACTATTTTAAAAGAACTTTCACAGCAATGCAATGATTTTAATTACTTACATGTAATTGATGTTTTCGGGAAATGCGCCATTCTCAACAGAGATGATATGGTTACTAGACAAATACAGAGTGGCCAATGTTGTGACGTTTGAGAATGCTCCGCTTAGAAGATAGGTTATGTCATTGCCAGTCAAACTCCTAGACATTTAAAGGACAAATTTCAAGAAGTTTCAAGCATATTAAAAAACATAATGAAATATCACTGTTCCTCCACAAGGCAGTATAACGAGAACAGTATGAGAAGTGTAAGATGGTCCTCCGATACAGCAGTCTGGAGTATTACCAGATATGGGCATAGTGACCTTTAAATTTCCCTACTGACACTGCAATTTTTGCCAAATTCCACTCAAGTTAAGTTTCCAACAACAAATTTTAAATCCCATCGGCACAAACGTGTTTTAGAACTTCTAGTTTATGTCTATAGTCAGGTTTTTTGCACAGCCGATCAAATTTTTGCAACTGAAATTTTTCGTTATTTTTGTTCCATATGCTGCAATGTTTATAAATAAAGCACCCCGTAACATGGAAACACCCATACAATTTGTTGCAGGCAGCTAGAATCAGTCTTGTGATTGCGTGAGATTTGTGACGCAGTAGGCCGTCTAAATATGGTAATAGTCCAGACTGTTGAGATCTACTTAAGGAGGATAAAGGAGATCTTACAGAGTCTGCAGACTTTGGACTCGCTCTTGGAATTGCACAGCAGGTGGAACATACTGGAAGTGATTGTTGCTCAAATATCTGCAGGGGGGAAAACAGTTCACCTTGAAAATTTGACAGATTCTCATGAGAACAGGACTATTTTGGAGGAGTTTTTAAGTGCAGTCTTAGCTTCACTGAGAAACACTCCACTTGAGACTGAAGTGACTTGAGGCTCAGCCAAAGAAACACAAGGTTTGGCAAGAAAAATTCAACTGGAGTACTTTAATAACTAGAATGGATTTGGACTTGGCATTTCACTTGACACTTGACAGGAATACTAAGATACGACCATAGGGACTTGGCATTTCACTTGACACTTGACAGGAAGACTGAGATACGACCATAGGGACTTGACATTTCACTTGGATTTTAATGAAACACACAAGTTCTTGACAAGAAAGACTTAAGACTTGACTGAAATTACTTAGCACTTGACAAGCGCAAGTTGAAGTCCAACCATTAGTACTTAATTTTCAGCTTCCAAATATGGTTACTCACAGTGTGGTAAGATAGGTCAGACACTGGAAGGCATGGTCATCCAATGTGGTCACTGTCAGCTGATTAGAGCTGAGATCGAGTTCCCTGAGTACCATCATCTGACACAGATCCTCCAGGTTTATTCCTTGGATGCTGTTACTTTGCAAGTAACTACAAACAGCAAAAATAAGAAGTAAAAGTACAAACCTACAGCACAGCAAGACACAGTCCCTATCAGGGATGTGTCGCCTTAAATGTGTGGTAAACGTCTGGAACTGCAAAACACATGTCTGGGGGTTCGAATCCAGGAGGCTGGTTACATGTTGTGATCTTTGCGTGTCATTTTACATCCACTTGCCTCTCTCCATCAAGGAGTATGAATTGGTACCTGTAAACATCGCGATAGTGGTTGTATTTGATGAGCCGTATACTCCCCAGGGAGCTGAGTTTCAGAATTGTTTGATGGTCCTGATTACCAGAAATCTTATTAATAAGGGCCTCAATCTAGTAACTAGGCTTTGTGAGTTTCATAAAGTACTCATCACTAGTAGTGGTTGTTGAGACCAAATAAAAGTGAGTCTTCACACAATAAAATCTGATTGTCTGGTTATACATTTACAACAGGTTTGAACTTTTGTATTTCCTAGACAGCACCTGAACAACATTTATTGATTTGTGTCTGAAATTTTAAACAAATAAATAATAAATGAAGTACTTCATACAAGTCCATCACTTTGAATACTTACAGTCTGTTGACGCTTAGTAGCTTAGAGAACGGATCATGCAATGTTTGTTTGTAGTTGTACAACACTGGATCATTGGAAAACTGGTCAATGTTAAACTCTGTGATGTTGGTGATCATGTTATTATCGATGTGCCTAGAAAGTAAACAGATATGATAAAGTTCAAATTAAATTTAATTTAATTACTGATAATTGAAACTCAGCATTTGTTTTGGCCTGGCCTGTCCGCCTAGTTGAAGTGCACCCCAAGTGGCAAAAGAAAGACAGACTGTTGTAAGTTTTCCAAACGGCTTCTTGCAAACGTTCTGCGTGTATGCAAAATCATACAGTATGGAATAAATTCGTTTTGTGTACTCAGCATGTTTTGCGTCCAACTCGCCACTGATCTCCATTACACACACGCACTTTTGCTGTGAATGCCAAAAACATACGCCCTCTTTTATTGCGCTTAGAGCAGATAGTAAGGTTATCTAGTGGGCAAATCAAGCCAAATGCTTTCAAAAGCTAACAGGGAAGATCCACTAGCGTGTTGTGTTGAGATTGAATTACCAGTCAGAGAGGTCTTAAGCACTCTCCCCGCTCAGCATGCTGTTTTCAGTGAGTTCCAGCCTGATACTGCATCAATTACAGTTGGCACACTGTGTTACACTAATCGATCAATCAATCGATCAAATCAATCAATCAATCAAATCAATCAATCAAACCAATCGATCAAAATTAAATCTGATCAAATCAAATCATATCATTCAATCAATTGATCCTTTACTAATGCTGTCTGAATTCAATGTTTCAGCTGATTTTCTTGACAAGAATGCTCTCCAACTAACTTGATCTTGTTAGCTCAAGGAGCATCTCAAAAGTCGGCAACATCTGTATTCCTTTGTATCATTCCCACTGGAATACTAGCTTTGCAGTGTTCATACTGCTTTCATGCATAGACCCTTCTGAGGTAGCATTCTGATGAGAATACTGTGTTGCCTGTGGAACGGAAGTCCGTCCTGTAATGAGGACGAGGTGTTCCAAATGGAACATTCTGACTGTTCCCTTCTATGAGATGCTCCCAAAGACTACATCTTATAAATGTACTTACAGGTCCACTACTCGGTTGTAAGTTTCTTCAGACAGGACGGCATGAGGGAAGTAGGGCAGAGCATTGGAACTCAGATATCTGTAAGGTCAAATATTGTTAATCAAAACTGCAGCTCTACATGAGGCTGTGACAACATAACAAATGCCTAAAAGAAGAGTTGGTACCATTTATAACTGTTTGGTCTTACTGAGATTCATGAAGCCGTTGAGGATTTTGGTAGTTCCTATCAGTCACAGACCAACCTAGACTGAGATTCATGGAGCCGTTGAGGGTTTTTGGTAGTTTCTATCAGGAACAAACCAACCTTGATCAACTTGTTGCTATTCCCAGACATCAATTGTCTCCTCAAGGTCATTTAGCAAGACTCTGTAACTTTTATCTTCAGAACTGGTGAGTAAAATCTTGCACTTAAGGACTCACGTGGGTAAAACATGGTGTTATTATCCCTTTGTCTGAAAATGCACAGATCACATAATTTTTCATTGATCCAAATATTTTCACATTTTTCATGAAATGTAATAGTAATGACTACGTGCAGGACACTTCATTAAGGCATTAAATCAAAGATACACTTCTCCATTGCACACTGACACCGCAAATGTCAACGAAGCAAATAAAGACCAGCTTACTTACAACTCTGTCAAGTTTCCTCCAATTCCTGAGAATGCATTGTACTGAATACTCGCCAACTCATAACCATCCTCTTGATTGTGTAAAATCCTGCAAGGTATCAGCAAGATATGCATGTTAACAAACTAGGTTCACAAGAAACATTAGTGGAAGATGCTGGAGAATTACTACCCCTGTTCACTGAGCCAATACAACAAATACTAGAGCAAACCTACAACCATGAAGAGAATGATACGACAATGCTGACTTTGGCAATAACGGATTATTCAAATACAGGCAACCACCTGTCATTACTTCTTAATGCAGCTAAGCAATTTAACAGATGTCTCAACCAAAGGCATTCATACTCCCAAACTACAATGGACAAGTTTAGCAGGCTGACTATAGGACTTGACTCAACATAACTATAGAACACCAAGGTGAATACATGTACCCGGTATGTCATGCATTAATATCAGAACCTGCCCGTAAACCATAACCATGATACGTGTAACAAGTGCATACTCCATTCATTTTCACTGCACTTCCGGGTTCAAAAGGGCATCACACTTTGATCCAGAGGTCACTGGAACGCTGCATCCGGAAGGATTTCTAACGTTTCACTAGAAAATTTAACTCAGTAAATATTTCAGGCAGAGCAAAGCAAACTACTAAAATTTCAACAAATTACTCCCTGCTAATCAAAGAATGGACCACCTGTGTCTTTGTAAAATTCTACTCACAAAGTTCTGAGATACGGCAGATTTGTCACAGCCTTAGCTCTTAGGACCTGTAACCTGTTGTAGCTCAGATCCCTGAAAAAAAAACCAAATAAACAATTCTGTTTACATAATGCCACAGTGACAATTTTTATCATCAGCAGTAAAATACAAGACATTATTTGTTACACCTGATATGCTAAGGCATCCATTCCCATCCTCGCTCAGATATATTCCTCTGACTAAAAGGATGAGATAAGGAATATCAGGGATGAAGATGATCTGACAATGTTAAGTATGATAACCTGTCCACACTGCCTGACAAATATCAAATTTCTGAAAACCTGATATCGTATCAGATAGGAACACCAATTTGGCAACGAGACGAACAGGTGGACACACAAACTCAAAGACTGAAGCTCAAAACTGAGTGCTAGAATTAACCTTTGTATTGTAACAAATTAATTATTGGCCTTATGCTGTTCAGGGGAGGGCAGGTTCTTCTCTAAAGACAGGGTCTACTTACAAGTGCAACAGCTGGGGAATATTATCGATGGTTTGCGATGGAAGATCTGTGAGAAAATTCCTGTGTAACTCTCTGAAAAAAGGAGCAATTTTAGCACAAATGTTAGCATTTCCCCAACTCATTAGCAGTGCGATAGACAAGATAATCACAAGACCAGACACAAGACCAGTCACAAGACCAAACACGAGACCAGACAAAGACCAGTTACAAGACCAGACTGAACACCAGACACAGGCCAAAAGCCTACCAACCAGTGGGGTGTTTTTCACCGTTTTGACTTGTCCAAATGCATGCCTGCAGTAAGTTTATGAACACCCACACAAGTGTGATGCCAAGCACTTATAACCCAAACGTATTGTTCAGTAACAATCCTGACCTTTTACCTAAGACAGTTTTATTAATAAAAGTTTATTAGCAAAAGAAAAAAAAAGAATCTAATGATTGCAAAATGTAAATTGTAGAACAGTACAAAACAGTTTCTTCCAAGCAAGGAGTGAATTATACTTACAAAATCTTCAGCAGCTTCAACTGAGTCAGTGCCTTGGGTGCGATGTAGCTGATCATGTTATTGCTTAGGTTGCTACAGAAGATGAAAGCACATTACGAATTCAATCTACAGTAAGAAACGACGTCTGTGCTCATAATGAATATCATGGGGGAAGGAAACCAGTCACATTTAAACTCCATTGCATGAACTCAGTGTCTGATCAAATAGAAAAACACTGATCAACCTTTATCTTGCTAGTTTTATCATCTTGAAGTCATGTTGAATAAACTGACAGGTGATGAATGGATTTACATTCATTGCTGGATCAACTTAAAGATGTTAAATTGGGTTTGGCATCTGTGACATACTTAATCATCACATTGATGTGGCAAATTGAATTTAAAGTCCATTAATTGGCCTAACTCACAGGTGTTGAATCTGGGATGGCACCAGAGCAAGAAGGTTTCTCTTAGAGACTGACGTGAGCTGGTTAGCATCCAGTGACAGGAAGGTGAGATTCTTCATGTTTTGTAGAGAATCGCTAGGAAATGACGCCAGTGAGTTCATGCTTAGACCACTGTGGAGAAAAAAAATCAACAAACTTTCTTTTATTGCTATATGCGATCTCAAATAGTTCTACAAAGTTTATCAAAAGTACAAACAAAGAATTCTTAATAACGGCAGTATCGTAGTCAGTGCTTTCAAAGTACTCAACAAGTGTATTCCTCTACTTATCACAAGTATTCTACAGGTGCTTATGCTAGTTACAATCGGCACTCCCAACCAAAACTTCATGAAAATCAAAAAATAAAGAACATTTCACAAGATGCTAAGGGCAATCTATACTCACAGATATTCAATTCTGGTCCCAGAGAAAAACCCAGATGGAAGCCAATTGATGCTATTTTCCATCAAACTCCTAAGAAGCCAAAACGAATGAGGTTAAACATTCTACAAAACCAAGATTGAAACAGAAAGTGACAGAAGTATAAACTGCTATGCTTGGGCAAATTGGGAGGATCGATGAATATTAAGGATGGAACTCTTTCTTAGAGAAACATTTCTAGATTGAAAAATTCTTCATAACAAAATGAGAACAACCTAACAGCTTCAACTGTATCAAAAAAATCAGGTTTCCAGAAGTGAAACATGGTCTTCTTTTAACTGCCCTGACTTTGTTTTCCAACATAAAGGCACAGCATCGTGGTAATTTTGGAAAAAGAGGCTCACTGCTGGTTTCATTGGACTTACACTCGCTTCAAGGTGTTGGGAAACGTGATGACCTTGTAGGTGGACGGAGAAAGGTTAATATTGTTCCTGGTTAGATCTCTGAAAAAGAAATAGAAAACCAAAGCTCACAGGAATAAACAAGGAACAATAAATGGCTTTGCCTACAAAAGTAGGGTAAACGGGTTTAGAAATTGGAAGAAGCATGCAAATACTTACAGCTCCTCTAAACTTGTACAGTTGGACAAATCTGGAAAGACTGACATTCCTGTATTGTGAATTGTCCTAAAAAAGGAACCAAATCATGCATTAAACACACCTCAGTTTCAAAATCTATTCCACATTTACTCAATGAAACGGATGAAAATCTCACTATTTCCATAACTTATACCTGCAGACAAATACAACAAATAAATTTTTAAAAATTATTTCACAGCACGGTCTCCATACAAGTGCATGCATAGCAAGTAATTACAGCATTAAGTAGACACGAAAACAGAACTTCAAATCAAAGACGCATTCATAGACCAAACAGTTTCCGGAGAACTTACAATTTTGTGAGCTTGGTCAGAAGCCGGAATGCATCCCTGTCAACATTCTTGGCATTCCCAACAATAGTTCTGGTTTAAAGATATTAAAACAACTCACATTAATAATAACAAGACCAGTATTTCCATTACAATAGGCTGGGATGTAGCTACAGAGGCCTACTGTATGTGTGACCTTTACCCTAACACTCCTCAATCCTTCATCTGTTGGAGGACTGAGGAGTGTTAAGTTAATGTAGCAATGAGTTCAAATATTTCACAAGACAAAAGACTTAATTACAACATCAATACAGCATGGCTCAATAAGCCGTTTGCGAGTTAAATTTGAATTAAGTCTCGTACTCTGAGTTAGATGTATCTAGTGGCACATACATGTAACACTCTGAATTCCCCAGACTAAAGACACTGTTGCCATACGTCCTGATTCGGGGCAAGCTTTTCCACAGCGGCCACCATCTCTGGAAAGGACTGGTTCCTTTGTGCTCTTCTTATCTATTGGAAACAGTGTATTGGTGCAAAGCGTCTCTTATGTAATTAAGCAAAATCTTGCCCTGAAACAGGAACTATAGCAACAGTGTCTTTAGTACAAGAATTCAAATGGTTATGTTCACGTGAATTTAAAGAATCATAAGTACCACATTTTATTCAAATTAAATTTGCGAAAGGCCTGCTAGTCCAAGTCAATTGATAATCACTGCAATGGGATTTCAGGCTATTCATGGTGAAGGACAGCAACATTACACTCCGGGTTCTTTTCTGAACCACACATACTCACAAGAGAGATAAATTCCTTCGTATGGTGCTACCGCACGCCTTTCCACCTGTAACCACTGCAATCACATCTTGTGAACACTCACTTTTCTTTCAGATGCAACTGTTTCTCATTTCAACATTTACCACTTTACCACCATCTAACACAATTACTTCTTATCATACAACATGAAAGTGCTCCTTTGGATGATATTCCTGACAACAAAACTCCTGTTGAGAATAAACAGTGGAAACAAGCCCCACAGTCCTTGACGAATAATTCCAAATAGTTGACCACAGCATGCATACTCATCACGTCTTGTTCATAACTTCATTTACCAGACCCTTTCACACAGTGCACGGCATAAATCAATTTACTTACATCTCTGTAGTGTCGGGGTGGAAAGTGTTGATGGTCACATTATCAAAGATGTAGTTCTTCAGAGTCCTGTGTGCCACGTCAGAAGAAACGTAAGGTTGAAATGTATGGAAGTTACTCTGGGGTTTCTTAACATTTCCATGTACCACAGTTTTTAGACGGGATTATAGGCCTTGAGCATGACCAATAGAGGGTGCAATTTTCTCAGCAACGGAGGCTCCTTTGGTTGGAACTACACCTAACTGGTTCACAAATGACTATGAAATGCACACGTTACAGTTGCATGACTACCAACAAAATGAACACTCCCCACCAACATGGTTCTTTTCAACCAATGAGGGGATGCCTGTGCTCAAGGTAGATAAGTCAGGAGTATTACCACATATGGGCGTGCAGTGACCTTTCCCCATGCCTCTACAATGTTTCAATGGTCATCGCCAAAATACCGTTAATTTTGTCCAATTTTCAATCTTATGTCAAGTTGGCTACAATAAATTTCTTATTGAATCAGTACAACCTGTTTTAGAACTTATAGATGATGTCTGCAATGGTTTTTGTTTTTTATGCACAGCCAATCAAATTTCTGCAAGCGGAACGTTTCAGTCCGTGTTTGTTCCATATGCTCCAATGTTTACGAAAAGCAACTCGCGTCCTGGAAACACCCACAATCCTTTGCAGGCTGATAGAACAGGCCTTGTGATTGGTCAGATTGCACAAGGTTTGTGATGTATAGCCTGTCCAAGCAGAGAAACTGTTTACAACTCAAGGACAACTTTTAGAAATTCAGGCTTTGGGTGTTTTCCTCAAAGATCCTCTTCAATGGTCCGACATACAAATCGATTAAATCTAGCTTACACTGAGGTTGTCCCTGTGCAATCTACCGTCATTGCCATCTCGTTACAGGTACAGGTGCAAGACCTTGCACTATAGTCTGATGTTGGCCGTCCGTAGCCCCCACTAAGACTGGACGCCGCCGACCAAAGGCCGTTGAACATATCAGAACCTACAGAGATGTGATCAGTTGGAAAAGGGACTAAATATTTAACACAGCAGGTTTCATGCTGTGTACGCACAACGTACACACAGGACTGTGGCTGAAGTGTACATGTACACATTCAAACAACGGAGGATCAGGAGGGGGGGCCATGTGCCCCCCCCAAAAAAAGGAGCCCCCCATTTTTTTTTATTGGAGATATAATGAAAGGCAATTTTTTTGTCCAAAACGAAGCCTCATCAAACCTTAGAAAAGACTGACAGGTAAGGTTACACAAAAGAATTTTTAACCCCCAGCCCCCAAAACAACTCATTCCCCTTCAAAAATTTGGTCCTGGATCTGCCCAGGTTGCATTTATGTGTATGCTAACAGCTAGCATCTTGTTGGCGGCAACAATTTCCATAGGCACCTCAAGTACTCTAAGCCATAGCCAGTTGATTTGGACAGGCCGGGTCTCATGTCATCTCCAACAAACAGTAAGCCATGTTCTATTCTCCCAACATCCACTCTATGAAGTTGCTTTTTCAATGCCCGATTGATGATGCCGTAAGATGAACATCTAAATAAAAACCTTACAATTTTGTGTTTGTTATTAAATACAGGACTCTACAAAGATAATCCATGCAATAGCCACAGTCAGATGTAGATTTGGACAGAGTCTCATGTCACTTCCAAGTAACTGTTAAGCCATGTCTTATTCTCTGAGCATCCTCTCAGTGAACTTGCTTTTTCAGTGCCTGATTGATGCCATAAGCCAAGTAAATTAAACAGCTGCATTATAAAAACCTTACAATTTTGTTTTGTCATTACATGTAAATACTGGGCTCTACAAAGATACACACATACATTGTACCTGTTTCATAGTTGATTCCATGCGCTCCATATCGCAGATTCCAGTAATCTGCACCGTAGAAATAAGCAGAAGTTCCTGGGACGCGAATCAAAGCAGCAAGTACCAACGCAAAGTACACGTGATAAACTCCACTCATTCTCAAAGTAACATCCCAAAGTACTATTCAGCTACAAATCTTGAATTCTAAATCTGGCAGCTTTGGCAGCTAGCACCGCTTCAATACCTGAGGAAAACAAAGTCTGGGATCACTATTCTGTGACATTATCACAACACACACCAGTAAACAATACAGGTGCACTGTATGTACGATTACTAAACACAAGATCTACAGTCTGAAACATTTACGAAACGTTCATTTTAACTCAATAAACAATTAACATACATGCCCTGAAGGGGCTGCCTTCATTTTCAAGATCCTCATCTAATTATAAGGAAATGCTTCAAACAAAATTTACAAAAATGACCTGAATGTAAAATTTGTAACTGTGGGGAACAATGCCAACTACGGTCCTCAATTTATGCTATGATAAAGGTACTTCACCTTGTAGAAAGAGGGCACAGTTAGTGTTTGTACACCTTTATTTGTTTTCAAAACGGTGAAGTTGTTAACAGTTAGCCAACCACCTGTACACATACAGCAAATCACAATGAGCTCCTGTCATGGTTACAGTTGGTGTCTGAAATTCAAAGAAGTTTGCTGGGATACACAGACAACATGGTTCATTTTGATAAGAGTAACTTCTTGTAATACAAGTAGCTGATGTGATCTTATCCGGATTTCAGTTTTTATCTGACCTACATGTACAATTGTCAACAGTATTAATAATAAGGCAGGCAAGGCTGCCCAAGATTACAAAACAACCTAGTGCTTTTCCAAACAAACCCTTGTTGCTTTTATAAACCATTCTACTACTGAAAGCAATATCTCCCAGGCAGACTCAATCAACCGTAACCTCCACATAAGGACCATAACGCTGTTTAAATATTGGCACAATGCCATGGGCCACTCTAGCAATGTTTGCCTTTTGGCACTGAAAGTGTGTTGGCAGGGTGAAATGTAAGCATTACAGTTAGATTGTAAAGGTTTGTCATTGATAGCAAGCAAGGAAAAGTCACTTTTGAATGGGAAAAGGTGACTCTGACTGACCTTTATAAAGTGGATAGTCTGCAATAGACATGTACATGCGTTTGCCAAATTCATTGATTGTTTAGGTTGAAATGTGGATTCAAAATGTGTAAATTGATCGAAGTTATGAACTTTTAAAAGTCTGAAACCTCTTGATATGCTTTAAAAGGAAAAGCCTCCATACAGTACTGTACCTATCTGAGAATTTGACAGGATTACCAGAACTTAAACCATACCATGGAATCATCCATTTCTACCATGCCTCTTCACAAGTGTACACACCCCTGGCTCCTCCGCATTCCAAAAAAAATGAAAATGATGACAGCCATTCCACCTTTTTTTCAAATTTATGAAAGCGCACACAAACTGTAAACCTTTCCAGAAGCTTACACAATTTGTACGCTCACGTAAAGGACAAAAAACTGAACCACCCCAAAATTTTGTATGTCCTGCCCGTGTGTCCACAGTAAGTATAGATTCTTAGTGGGTTCCAGTCTTTATATTTACTATGGTTTCAGCCTCAGGGTCAATACTTGAAGGACTTCCACCTGAATCAATCTTAAGGGATTAGCTTAGCTGGGATAACTGACCATACTACCATGGCTCTTTATATGGTGCACATTGAGTTTTTTAAGGGTGAGCAAGCAGCAAGGATGTTCAGTAACAATGCATCAAAAATCCTCATAATCTATTTAAATACCCAGCAGGATAAGAGGGTGCCTGCTGTGAGAAGGTAGAACTCTCCAGTATCTTGGGTGTTTTGGACAACCTGCAGGCTATTTTAGATAACAGATTTTGTAAATGAAAATGGATGCACACTGCACAGTGCATACATGTACATGTCAAGCACAAAATCTTAGCAACCTGGAGCCCTATTCATGAGAATTTAGAGAACCACATTTCTAAGGAAAGTTCACGGGTAATGGAGAAACTACGGTACATGTATGAAAACTGTATGCACAGGTGTCAATGTCATTTTATCTCCTATGAAAGAGGCACAAGTGAAGTACATCACACATTTATGTACGCCTCGGGGTACAGACATGATAGAAAAGTACTGTCACTAAAATGAACATGCAGATGTCATTCATCTCTGGATTACAACAAAGTATTTTTTTGAAATAATTTAAGAATTTTTAACTTACATGTACATGTACCTGAAGGAATGCAACCTGGACTTTAACAAAATGAGGAAATTCCAATTAATCTTTACAAGACATTGTACAGAGTTTTGCCATTTTCATTGGCATGAGTGTGAAGTGAACAATGGGGAAATCAGCAGATCCGAGGAAAAGTTGCATTCCTGATAACTTAGGAATAATTCTTCTGTTGTAAGCAATTGCCAAGAGCTGGATGCTTGTACTGGTACCTTTTCATATTGGCTGAGGGAAGGATGTATGTAAGCTTACTGTAAATGGATCTAGAAGGCCTGTGTTGTTGAAACTTACTTTGGGTTCTGCATTTACCCCCAAAACATTTTTAAGTTTCATCAACACTATAAAGTTTAAAAAGGATAAAAAGGGTTCTTTTTCTTTGGAGGATTTTTAGCCAGGAGAGGGGTTTAATTACAAGGAAGACCAGTGTGAGTCCTGATCATTCCTGACCGTCTTGGACCCTTTTTTTGTAAGACTACCTTGTTGGTGTTTATAGAACTCAGAAATCATGAAGCCTGAATGCAGAACTCAACCCCAGTAAGTACATTGAACCCAATTCTGTCAAACTCCACACATTAATCATGTTGTACAATATGTGTCAACACGACCAAGACAAGAGTTTATACAATCTGCTCTTATGATGTCACAGTCATACTTTTCCTACAACTCAGTACAAGTGGCTGCTAAAACTATGGTTGGCCATTAGTACAAAGCCCAAATAAGAATTCACAAAGCATTAAAAATCCTACACCCCTATCAAAACAACTGATAATAATACCAGTTACTAAATATAAAATAAAAATACAACCCTACTTAAAACCAAGTGGACAAGTGTCCATTTTGAAGGGACTGAAGGGAAATTGAGAAGATTTCCACAAATGGACATCACTTGACACCCTGTGCAGTACCCACATGTAGGCTACATGTACTGCATGACTGCACTGTCCTCCTAGTCCTACTCCCAGCTAAACTCAACTTTTAGGACAAATTATTGATTTCTGATGGCAAATACAATTTAAAACAAAATAATGCAGGGCAAAATAAACAAACATGACAAAGTACACGTATGTCATGAACTTTCATTTTTATATGGGCCTACATCCCTATATTAAACAGTTTATAACCATGACAACGAAGTTGCCTACACAAGGTCCGTTATGCACCTCTCTTATTAGCCACAATCTCCTCAAAAACGTAGTCTACAGAAGAGCAAATTTTGCGAACCTTGATGCCGGAACGGCATGCTTTGGACACAGAAATCAACCCGTCAAACCCCAAAGTGAAACGGCTCGTGTGTTGAAACTTTTAGTAGTAGTACTAGTAGGTACTACTAGGCCTACCGTAAACGGTAACCAGGCCTAGGACTAGATAAAGTCTGTTGTACCGTGCGCACTTCGACCGGTTTACGCAGACAAAAAATGTGCAGGCCGTCAGCCATATGTATCATTGTTCCTTTCAAGGTTTTGCTGTTTGCTGAAGTTGTGTGGACCTGGCCCAACTTCTCGAACTTGGGTGGCTTACCTTGGTTCAACGATCTCATACCACCATGACCATTAACATACAAAACCTGCAGTTCACCATCATGAGGTCAGACTCGAAAAAAAGAGCAGGAAATTAAATTTAGAATTGAAGAAACGTACAGTTCTGCATATGTCAAATCCTCAACGCTAATGCATCGTTACGTGCTGTACTTCTTGAAAGCGCCCAATAGTCCAAATCTCCCCAGTAACAATAAACATTCTATGTGGTCCATTGGGAACTGCCCGTGGTACATAGCGCACATATGGGCGCTCAATTTATAAGCGGTGACCCTGAGGGGAAAGTCTTCGAACCGTGACAAAATTTCAGCCTGAGTGTTAAACAATAACCAACACAGTAAGTTGAGTAGCAGGTTTTAAAGTAACCGTAACAACGTTCATACTCTCTGACGTCGATCATGCATAAAGTAGGGCCAAAAGTCATTAGCAGCAGGCGTACCGAAAACGCACTGTGGTTCAGCGATTTCTGGTCATTATTTGGGGGGCCGGATAAGTCGCATTTTGGCTAATAATTATAATAGTTAGATGTAATGACATAAAACGATCGAACTTAATTTGTTCCACCTTCCAATCCTTTAAATTTACCTTTCCTTTAAACTGGCTAAAAAAATGCCTGAGCAGAAAGTAAAGTTCAAAAAGGTCATGGAAGGTTGGGTTAAGTTTCCTCATGGTAGTTTTCAGTTTTTCTTTTGTTTCTTGTTTTGTTGGTTTGTTTTACTTGCGTCTGAATTAAAGGAGCAGGCCTATATAACAACTAAAGCTTACTCAAGGGTAAGTCCGGGGTATCCCTCAAACTAAACAAAGCAATCAAGTACTGACAACAGCAAAATTGATGGCTTTTCAGAACCACCCCCTCCTGTCAACTTGTACCTCCTTAAGGCCTTGCGCCCCGTCTGTGCATACTCGTTTGCGTGTAGTCTATCCGTGACAAAAGAGGGCGCTACACTTAATATGTGGCTGCCGCGCGTGCGAAAGCCACGGAGTGCCGTCAAACACGCGTGTATTTCCAAAACGTGACGTATATTTTTAAAGTGCGTTTTTCTGCATTAAATTTTTTTTCAACTCTGTTTTTACGAGGCATTTTTTTCCTAGATATGTATCATCCTAAAAACATGTTCTCGTAATATCTATGAATGGAAATGGTGTTTCTATTTTTTGAAACAAATCTTTTATTTTTCCGGTTAAGTTCCGGTTTTAGAGACCTTTTTGAGTTCATTGCCACGAGTTGTATTGTGTGAAGACTACTTTTGTGAGAAAAAATCCGAATTTGACAGTATTTATCTTATAAAAGTTAACTTGCAAAATATGTGTCATTAAAATTTAATACAAATGTTATTTTAAAAAAATCTTACCTTGTTTTAGAAAATGTTTCCAAAGAGTACAGGTCATCAGAAAGAACTGGTATCTTTAACAAACGAACTTCGGGAAGAAATGTATCTCTTACACACAAAGTCGGAAAAATGTGTCTCTTAACAACAAGTTCCGAAAAAGGTTTCACTTTTTAAAACTATATACTTGATGGCACTGGACTAAGTATGGAGCTTTCTACATGATGATTTTTAAAATTTTATTATTTTTATGTATAAAGGCCGTTTTCCAATACATGTACTCGATTCGGCTCCAATAGGAGACTCGATTCACCTGTTTCTTTTGTTTGTTTTTTCTTTACTACCTTACTTTGAAGTAGCAGTAGGTCTAATAGCACCACAAAACATCACGCAAGCTGCAAAACAGTCAAGCATTATACCGTTCTTCAAAGTTCACGTCCCGATGCATTTGCGTGATTTGCATACCAGCGCGCCAGATGACGACATCATGTACCCTCGTATCCCCCCCGGCCCCGTGCGCGCATGTACGTACGAGCGACTGTATGTCTGAAACGGGCTTCCAGAGCTACGGCTAGGTCTTCTGTCTACCCGTCTCTACGCATTTACAATGGAGTGAAGACCAAGACCTAGCTCTAGTAACAGCATGCATGCTGGTGTCTGCGGCTAGTTTATGTACTGAATGATGATTGGTACATGGTAGAGGCAGTATCACAACCAGAAAAGGTACATTATGATAATTTATACTTACATCACTTGCTGCAGGGTTGTCAATGCTGGCATCTCCATAAAACATTCTCGCGGCCGGACGTCCGTCGGGGGAATTCAACTACACAAAGCCTGAGGGTGTAAATTTGCTCCTTTCAAGTTCCGTGTGTTTAAAGTCCATAGTAGTGACCTCACACCAACCGCGAGAATGAATGTGGGCGATGAGTTCCATACGGACGCAAGTAGTAGTCCCTACAGTGACTTATTAGCCATCAGAAAGCAAAAACGTGTCCAGAAAAGTTCAATTTGGGAGGGAAGATACTGATTCGTTCACTTAGAAAACACTCAGTAAATTTTTTCAGATTCTCAAGTATAAGAGCAGTGCACGGGGCCGGGATGTCAAGTCATTGATTGATGTCATTGATTGGAAAAACTTGAGTGTGGCGCGAAAAATGATGCGCATAAACGCGCGCAAGGTACAGTGATGAGCGCATTCAGTCTCTGAATTCTATTAGCAGAAATAACCATGAACAAGGCTAATTACGGTTGCCTTATGTGCCCCCTTTTTACTCAATTATTTATGATCTATAAGATACTACAATGCAATTGGAGCACTTACTATGCATATCCGAGCGAGACCACATAAATCTTCTGCCCAAATGATACTTCAAGTTACTTTTACCTTGCTTCGTTTTTTTACCTTGCAAAAAAAGAAAGAAAAATCGTGGCTTCTGTCTCTTCTTGGATGAATAATATTATCATAACACTGCTGTTCAGTCAAGTTGAATCAAACAAGCGAAAACTCTGAACTTATATGTCATTGCAAAATGCAAGAGCCTATCTTGAAAAGAGCAAAATTCATAATTCATGTTCCGCTATGCAAATTATAATAAAATGTCCCTTTCCGGATGTGCCACAACCTGACAACTGCCCCAACCGGCGCGGCCGGCGCGCACGGTCATTATCTGCCCAGCGTCGGTGATGCATCACACATCTCATCCGGCAGCTCAGGGCTTGGGAGCATTTTGAGAAGATGTGAGTACGAATGATTGCTCCAAAATTTCTCGCTTTGACTGCTCGACTTAAGTTCAGGCCTAGTCGTGTGGATTTTGTGCCGCTGTTCATGTTGTTATTCCAAAAGCATGAAAAGAGTCCTCTTCAAAGTATGGCTGCTACTGCTAGTCATGCCATGATGTAAATGAGTTTGTTTCTGCATTCAATTGGGGACCCTGAACAATACAGGACAATAAGGTCCCTGATTGACA